TCGGGTCACGTTGAGCAAGCTAACTGTTATGCCAAGGTCCCAAGCATGTAATACAAAAGAAAATTCCATAGAAAATGAGATAATATTAAAGGTTACTTTTATTATCATTATGTATATATATATATATATATATATATTGTCCATAAGACAAATGGCAAACATACGAAAAATATTTTAATCATAATAATAGATAAGCATGTAATACAAAAGAAAATTCCATAGAAAATGAGATAATATTAAAGGTTACTTTTATTATCATTATGTATATATATATATATATATATATATATTGTCCATAAGACAAATGGCAAACATACGAAAAATATTTTAATCATAATAATAGATAAGACTTGAGGAGAGTTTCACAGATTGACAGGCACGGGGCACCTACATGAAAGAATCATAAAGCTTCCGATGAATGTACTAAATATTTAAACACCGAGGAGAAGGAGAAAGGGGGGAGACGTAGGTCTAAAAGGTATACTTGAACACCTATTGAGGTTAAATATTTGACTTGAAGACAAAGTGAAACGACATCTATCATTAAAATATACCAGTAGAATCTTTGACTAGTCATACTAGGGCATTGATGAATGACAAAAACTACCACTTTCAATAATCTCATGAAGAGCGTTGCCACACTTTCAAAAAAAAATTACAGAATTAGTTAATTTTGCTTGGGGAGAGCTTTTACTGATCATCTTATCAAAAGACGACTTGCATGGATTATGTAAAGGTATAATTTTCTTAGGAAGTATAGCAATTCTCTCTAGTGAAAGCAGTTGGTCATTCAAAGAACAAAATTTCATGCGCTTTGAGACAGCTGATATAATATCTAATAGCATCTACAGAGCTAGCTACTACCAGACAAGCAATAGGTAATCTCTCAAATAATATATAATGCTATTTATAGGGTGCAGCAAAATCAGAGTTTCCTCGGGATAAATCAAGCATGGAAATAACCAAAATTTTAAGAATCAAAATAATAATGAAGTCAATACCAAGAGTTACAAAGTTGTGGATGATAACCAACAACCAGAGATTTAAAAAGTGGCTTCCGTCGAACCATTTGTTAGCACTTTTGAGAATAACTAAAACAAGAAGATGATATCATCTAACCACTTCAGCAAATAAATGGTTATCAGCAATCAGCAATCCGTTTAAGGCTGGCCTCACGCAAGCATTCAAGCAAACTAAAGCTAATAGCTAACACTAGTAAGCCTTACCCTCCTTTTTTCCCTTAAGCAAAAACCCTTCTTCCCCCTCTGCCTCTCTTCTTCCTCCTCATCTCCCTTGTCACTCTCTTCTCAAACTTTATTTTCAATTGTAGATCTCACAAATCTGTTGTTATTCATCTTGCAATTTTTCATTGGGTTTGACGCCATCAAATATTGAAGAGCTTGTATGTAGCATTATCTTTCTCTACTTTCTCTTTATCCATAGTACATAAGCATAGATTAATCAAATTTTGTAGCTCCTTCTAATCTTTAAATTTAAGTTTTGTATTTAATTAATTTTAGGTAGACTATATTATTAGGTTAATAGCATTTTACTTCCACATTAATATTAGTTAATTTGACTTCATTCAGGGTTAACCAAGGTTGACTAGATTGCTCCTAGTTCAATAAACCATTAATTTTCAAAGCCATTATTTGCATACTATTAATTGATTAAGCGTCGTATTATGTAGGATGTTCGAGTTGAATTTAACTTGGTTTCATTGGTAGAATTTTAATTAAAAAAACTCATTTGGAGGTAAATAACACTCATTTATCAAAGGATAAATGTATCTTTCATTGTTAAAAGTACTGTACCTCAGATTTATTATAGCCTCCTACATATTTGTAAGTTACCAGTCTTACCATGGATTTTCAATTATCTATCATTCATAGTAGATCAATTTTATGTTTATAATGGAATATCAAGTAACATAGAGAATTTTGCCTTGATTTATTGATGGATAAAATTGTAAAAATATTATAGCCTCCTATATATTTGTACGATCATTTTTTCATGTGCATTATCTCTGTTGAATTTAATATATTTTATTCTTATCCATCATGTTGTATATATTATAATAATAATAATAATCATATTGATTTAAAGAACATACTAAATACATACTTATGATGTGTTAAAATTATATGTTTATGTCCAGTGATTCGTGGATCGATAAAACCATCTGCATATTGATTATTTGGGTAGATGTACCCACTGAGTGATTATAATATTAAAAATCATTGGATTCTCATAAGTTAGTGCTTACCTTCTCAATTTCAAGGTTTTTTTATTAAAAAAATATACAATAGTATGATAAATAAATGGTGAGTCATCTATTGATACATATGATTAGACTCAATATGATTACTTGTGGATATCTTACTATAGAAATGCATAGTTTTTAATTTATCATATAAATGAACAAAAACATTACCATGCTATAAACCATCTAAGAACATGTGACAATTTTCATTTAGGGGTTGCTTAGTCTGCAAAAGGAGTGCATTGCATTCCTTTTGCAGAAGTTTTGGATATTCAGGTGTTTGGTCAAAAATATTTCAAATGTAGTATAAAATAATAATCATCTAGAATTCGGTCCTTCGTCACTTTCAATGTTTTTGAAATTTGCTTAATTTGGGCAAATTCCAAATACACCGATTTATGTAAAGCGTTGTCAGCCACCGCCACTCGTTGTCTACCGCCTCCTCCGCCCGCCCGCCTCTCATGGTCATCACCGCCATCCACCTTTTCCTGCTACCCACATCCAATGGTCGTTGCCTCTGCCTTTGCTGCTCCCTTGCATACTCGTCTGCCCGTCGTAGCCATTGGCCACCCACCGCCAACCTGTCTGTCCACAACCAACCATCCGCAGTCAGCTGCCATTGGTTGCCCACCCGAGCGCCATTGCCGACCTCATATTTTACATTATATTTATTTTAATTTAAATCAAATAAGAAAATAAAATGTTCTGCATTTATTTTACATTGAATCAAATCACTCCAAAGTTTCAAATACAGTACATTATTTTACACCACATTCCATTTAGATTACATTATTTTTTCAGCAAACCAAGAACCCCCCTGAGCAATTTAATATTAGTAATGATAACTTGATATCATACTATACGACACTTGATAAATATTTTTTTTTATTCATGTTACATGTTCAAACGTTTTTCTATTTATAATTTAATAAATAGGAGTTTTTTGTTGGATTTGGCGGTCAAACCACTAATTGTAATTTTTTTGTTTCTTATAACAAGTCCAGTTAAACATAAACAATAGTGTTATATTAGGTATTTAAGTTGATCTTGTGGTTTGTACTTGTACTTATGTTCAGTTTTGGGTTTCTTATCCAAGTCTTTTTCTACTTATTTGTTGTACCAATATTATAAACAGTTAATGCCATAAAAGATTATTTGCTTCTTTCTTGCTAGCTCTTATTGTTTATAATTATTTGCATATGATTATTTCTTTTGTGAATACAAAATAGACTCATATAGATCTTGTTCTTTGAGTGATTCCCTCCATTGAGTTCCATGTTGTGAGAGTGTACTACCAAACTCAGGATATGACAAGTTAGAACACGTAACCATAACCCATACCAAAACTAATTAAAACCAAATCTTACGTGATACCAATAAGTTTCCATGATGACACTTGGTCGGTCGATCATAGAAGCAATCAAACTCAAACCAGCAACGCCCAGCAAACCTCATCCTAGTTCGAGAAAACTGAATCCTTCAACCTGCATTGACTTCAGCAACAATGGTCACCTTCTGTACCCAAATCCTCGATTCCTCTAAATAAAATACGAGCAGGAAGGAAAAACTGCGAGAAGCGGTATAACCTTACTACCAAAGCTAAATCCAACGTTACAGAAAAACAGAAGGTATCCCAAAGATGCACGGTCTAACAATCAGGACAGCGAGAGACCTCAAACCAACTCGATCAAAACCCAGCAAGCCTCGTCCTAGTTTCATAATACTGAATTCCACTAGCATTCACTTCTTAAACAAAAAAAAATATCGTTTGCCTCGTTCATGGCCGCCCCCGTCCTCAAATTCTAGATTTATCAAGAAAAAATAAAAACAGGGAAACAGAAGCGGCGAGACAAATCGTCAGGCACGTTCAGTTAAAAACGAAGCCCAAACTTGCCGGAGAAAAACAACAGATTTTGAACCCCCGGATCGGATTCAAGAAGCATTCGCCCCACTAGTGCATGATTCGGAGAAACTTGCATCCAGCCCGAGAATAGCAACTCAATCTTCACGAAGAGCATAAAAAACAACTAAACATTTCGACCAATTATAAATGGGAAAGAGAAGACACATACTCATCCTCGTCATCCGAGCTCTGCGATGAGGCCTCTCCATCTTCGCCTTCTGAATCTGGGGCTACAACGCAACACAGTATTGAAGAGTGAGATTGAGACTAGACGAATCGAATCCAACACCATCGAAAAGAGAGTTGGTGGTACCGTGTTGTCCCTGAAGAAACCCGGGCGAAGAAGTCGGCGGGGGGGCATCATCGCCACCGCCGGCGCAATGCATACCTGCGGGGGGG